TATATATATATATATAGAAGCAAAGCCGAAGCAAGTCAAGCTTGAGAGCAGTTTTAGATTTTCAGTATCCCCACCTTTTATATTCGTCCATCTGAAACACAGGAAATGCGTGCATACGCTCGTTCTGGGTTTCTTCTCAGCAGTTATGCCGCTGTCCGATATAACTCCGCGATTTTCGGGGAGCTGAAGTCGGCTGTTTTGGCTCGACACGAGGCTGATGCGCCGAAGATCAAGGCTCTAAAGGAAAAGTACGGGAAGGAGAAGCTTAGCGACGCCACTGTGGAGGCCGCGTACGGCGGTATGCATGGTATTACTGGCTTGGTGTACGAGTCGTCGATGCTTGACGTGATGAAGGGTATCCGCTTCCGCGGCATGACAATTGCGGAGTGCTGTGAGCGGCTCCCCAAGTCGTGGAGGGGCGGCTCGTCGCCGCTGCCGGAGGGGATGTTCTGGCTGCTCATGACGGGCAACGTGCCCACCGACGCGCAGGTGAAGGAGCTGCACAAGGAGCTGCACCGCCGCGCCGACAGTGAGGCCATCGCCGCGGCCATCAAGACAGTTGCTGCACTCCCCGAAAATACCCACCCCATGACGCAGTTAAGCACCGGTGTGCTCGCATTACAGGCACATTCCCAATTTGCTTCCGCCTATGCCTCAGGGAAAGCCACCAAAACGAATTACTGGGAGTATGCTTTATGTGACAGCCTTGATTTGATCGCCCGCTCTCCACATGTGGCTGCGGCGATTTACGGCCGCATCACTACCGGTAAGACGGTGATACCTAACAGTAGCAACCCTGAACTTGACTGGGCTGCCAACTTTACCAATATGCTGGGATTCAAGGACGAATTGTTCTGGGACTGCATGCGTCTTTACCTTTCCATTCACTCAGACCACGAGGGTGGCAATGTTTCGGCCCATACAACTCTTCTGGTGGCGTCTGCGCTTAGCGACCCGTACTTGTCCCTTTCTGCTGGCCTCAACGGTCTGGCTGGCCCACTCCACGGCCTGGCAAACCAGGAGGTGCTGAATTACCTCTTCGAGCTGCGCCAGAAGTGCAAGGAGGCTGGGCTGAACATGAAGGACCGCAAGGAACTTTCTGCTGGTCTGGAGAAGTTCACGTGGGAGCGGCTGAATGCCAAGCGTGTGGTGCCAGGATACGGACATGCCGTGCTCCGCGCGACCGACCCACGCTACTTGTACCTGCGCAACTTCTGTCAGAAGCACTTCCCGGATGACGAACTCTTCTTCCTGGTAGACACCATCTACTCGATCATGCCGGACATCTTGACAAAGCATGGCAGGACGAAGAACCCGTACCCGAACGTGGACGCACACTCTGGTGTGCTCTTGCAGCACTTTGGTCTCACCGAGCAGAACTTTTACACCGTCTTGTTCGGTGTGTCTCGCCAGCTGGGCGTGTTGAGCGGTGTTGTGTGGGACCGCCTCCAGGGGCGGCCGATTGAACGCCCGAAGTCAGTCACCTCGGAGTCTCTGTTCAAGAAGTTTAATATTGAGTAGGCAGGAAAACAGGGATAGACGTCCAGTGGGGATAGCGAGGGAAGGTATGAGATAGGCGAACAGAGTGTTTCTCTACTTGAATTCCTGTTTGGTTCCTACCGATGCTTTCTCTTTTGTTTTTGGTTTTTGGGTTTGTTTTCAAGATGCGCATGTATGTGTTTGTGTGTGCGAGTGTACGTGCCCCCCTTTTTTTCTGGAATCACACACGTGCAAGCGACGACCAGGAAAAGAAAAAGTATGCGAGCGATATGAGGGGGTGGGGGAACA